GTTTTTTGAGACAGGGTCTCACTATGTAGTTGAGACTGCCCTGCAACTCACTATGTAGCCCAGGCTGGTGTCGAACTCACAGCGATCCTCCTGCCTCAGCCTCCCAAGTGCTGGGATTACAGGTGTGAGCCACCACACCCGGCTAGTAATTCCTTTTTAATTTTCACTGATATAAACTAAAGAATATCTTGTTTTTAAAAAAGTTTTGTGGCCAGTCATGGTGGCACATGGTAATAATCCCAGCACTCTAGGAGGCTGAAGCAGGAGGATTACAAGTTTGAGCCCAACCTGGGCACTTAACAACTTGGCAAGACCTTATCTCAACATAAATTTAAAAGGAAAAGGGGACAGTGCTGTGGATATAGCTCAGCATGAAGGGCCCTGGTTCAATTAAAAAAATTAGGTTTTTTATGTTTTAAATTCCACATAAAAACCTTATTTATTTATGGTGGTACTAAGGATTGAACCCAGAGCCTTTGCACTGAGCTATATTCACAGCTCTTAAAAAAAAAAAAGAAAAAAAAAATCTTATTGCTAAGGTCCTAAGTCACTAAATTACCCAGGATAGGCTCAAACTTCTACTCCTCCTGCCTCAGCCTCCTTGCAGAAGATAAAAATGTGGGTTAGAGACTCCAGAATCCTTTTTCAAAAACCAAAACTTAGGTCCTTGTTGGCAGGCACACAGTCAGGACATGGCCTGTACAGGGTAACAGTTCCTTGGCCTTATCTGGAACTTTCTAGGATAGAGTGTAGAGTAATTGGCCTGGTGTAGATCTTGAGGCTGCTGCTGAACACAGTCACCATTCACTCTTGCACATCTACCCTAGGTCACGGCAAGAGTAAATAGTGGGTCTGAAACCAAAGCTTCCCCCACTCCCTGGCAGCTTTCAGTTTTTTTGAAGAATGTTATTTTTCTTAAAAGGTCATGCAAAGGCCAGGGATTAGCTCAGTGGTGTCGCCTCCTGCCTCCCAAGCACAAGGTCCTAAATTCGATCCCCAGTACAGAAGAAAAAAAAAGGTCATGCAAATTCTATACAGTAAAATACTTTTTTTTAAATTTACTTTTCTTTTTTTCCTTCTTCCTCTTTTTGGTGTACTAGAAATTGAACTCAGGGCCTTTGCATTGAGCTACATCCATAACCCTTTTTATTTTTTATTGTGAGACACTCTTGCTAAATCACTAGATTGCCCAGGCTGGGTTTGGACTTATGGTCCTCTTGCCTCATCCTCCCAGAATGCTTGGATTACAGGTTTGTGCTACCATGACTGCCAGAATGCATTTCTTTTTTTTTTTTTTTTAATTGAGTTTATTGGTACATTTTAGGGATACAGTACAGTTACATTCATTGTTAGGATCTTGTACCTTTACATGACAGGTCTTGGTTCTCATTTTTTCCCCTTGTCCCTGCCCTCCCTTCACCCCTCCTCCCCTCCCCATTTACAACCACTTTACTGCCATCTTTTCATTTTCTCACATTTTTTCTTTTCCCTTATTACCCTTCCCATACCCATCCCACTTTCCCTACACCTTTAGACCTTTTCTTTCCATTTCACAATGTCAGTTATCTCATTAGGATCTTATGTACTATTACAGTTTATTCACACCAGAGAAACTAGAATGCATTTCTATCTTTGTATCAAAACATGTTTTTGACTAAAATTGACATTTCACGAAGATACTTCAGGTGAATTTGAAAATTCCTGTGCATTCATGCTCATTGTGGCAGGAATGGCTGCTAGTCAATTTTCTTCTCTAGTGATCTGAATGCTGATATCTCAGACTTTGGCAATACAAATAAATTAGCAGAATACTAAATTATGGTCCTAACTAAAAGGGTATTTGTTTTAACCATCTCTAGGTTATTTGTCTGGGTGCAAAAGAAAATGGTTTGCCACTGGAATATCAAGAGAAGTTAAAAGCAATAGAACCAAATGACTATAAAGGAAAGGTCTCAGAAGAAATGGAAGAAATTCTCAACAAGGAAGAACAAAAACTCTGTAGAACATAACAGAATATACCTAAGGATATTCTCTCCTTGTGCTAATATAAAATATTTTTAACATTTGAGAACAGGGATTTGGGTTATCTCCATCTTTATTCTATTTTCAGCGATACTCTGAAGAGGAGTTTCACTTGGGTGGTTCCATACTTTCAGACTATGAAAAGAACCTGGCTTAGGAGAGACATTTAAAGAGGGATCTCTGAGGTGCTGGAATGCATGACAAATGGGTGTGAGTACACCCTCTGTGGACACAAGCTACTTTACTTATTTATTTATTTTAGAGTTGCCCTTACAGGTCTTCTTGGTCTGTGCCAAAGGATAGATTGGCAGCCTGCTTGATGATGGTGCTGGTGAATTGCTGCATTTTTTGTTGTTGTGTTTTGGTTTTTTTTTTTTTTTTTGAATCAAACTGGGAATCAAACTTGGTCCTTGTGCAAGGCAGGTGGCGGAACCACTGAGCTGAATCCTCACCCCACTGGGTTTTTATTTTAACCAGATTAGTAAGCAAGCTGCTAAGGCAGTTGATAATAAAATTTTGAAAATTGGAACGCTTATTCTCAGAGCAATAAGTGTTTTTGTAGTTTAACCTATTTCTCCTCAAATATTCCATTTCATTATGTTGTTTAACTCAAATCATCAGAGCACTGGAGCAGATCTTGGCCACGAGGGAGCACTGTACCAACTCTGGCCAGACAACATGCGATCAGTGTCCAGTTCTACAACTTTCTTTTTATTTTTTTGTTTTTGGTATAGGGGATCGAACTTGGGATGTAGCACTTGCCGGGCAGGCGGTGGAACCACTGAGCTAAATCACCAGCCCCAGTTCCACAACTTTCCGTGAGATTTTAGGTTATTTCAGTCTCTGCCATTTCTTCACTATGTAGTAAGGATAATCAGAACACCTATATCTTAGAATTATTTGAGGACTAAATGAGTCTATATGTATATAGTAAGCTTAGCAGAGAGCCAGGTACTTTATAACTACTAACAGTCAATTGTTCCTGTTTAAAAAATTCAGGGGACCAGGGATTTAACTCAGTGGCACCGCGCCTGCCTCACAAGTGCAAGATCCTGAGTTCATTCCCTGGTACCGAAAAAAAAAAAAAAAAAAAGCAGTTTGTATAGAGCCATCCTTGGAAATGGCTTGTAAAATATAATCGACACTCAAGATTTTGAAGGGAAGAATGTTTTGGGTGAGATAAGTAATTCTTATCAGGAAACATGACCTAAAATTTATTTGATAAATAAACAGAGGGAAAAAAAGAGTCAAGAATAAAGCAATACTGGTTTTCAGAAAAATCTCTCCTCCTCCTGTGGCATGCAGTCAGCTGTACCTTCCAAGCTGGCATGAGGACAAACTGGTCACAGGAACATCAACATGCAGTTTGGTTTTTTGGAGAAAATTCCAAAAGGGCTTTCAGCCTACACTGCTGTACTGTAGTGAAGCTGAGCTGTAGACCATAGGGTAGACCATGTTTCATAGCTGTCACACCTCAGTGTTTTCCACTGTACCCTCTGGTAATCTAGGCTCTTCCTGTTTTTCATTTTTCCCAAGAAGACCCAAGTTCATCAGTGACCCAGGACCCAGTAATGACATAGTGAACAAGGCTTAGTTTTGCTGTAGGTACAAAGAATTGAATGTTCTAATAATCTATGTCACCTAAACTGACAACTTCCATTAAGGAATCCAGAATGCTCACAGCTAACAATTTCATGTCTGGCCTTTTAACAAAAAGCTGATAATCACGAGGCATATTGTTTTCCTAGTTTGCAAAGTCATACTGTAAATTTAGGTCATATGTAAGAACTTTTCCAGCTCTCAAACCACAGTACAAGATCCTGTTAAACTATAACAACTATCATTTTGAAAAGTATTTCTGGGCTTATAAGAAAATAAGGAACTTTAAATGGTACCAATGAGCTCCCCAAAAAGAAAAAGGAAGAAAGATGAACTGTGAGCTGAAGGAACAGACGACACTGGAAGGAAATAACACTGGGGTACAAATGCCAACAATAGCCCTGGAATTGGAACCCAACCCTGGAGCACTACTGTGTGGAACAGGAAACCCAACCCTGAGAACTCTGAGACCAACACCACTGGCAAGGACCAGCACGGCCCCTACCGGGTAGCCCCACTGGCTTCCATGATTGAGAGCAGAAAAGAAAGTTTAATTTGTTTAAAAAATTTAGGTCCTGAGGGTTTACATTACTAAAATTATCCAACAGACTATAAAGTATGTATGGAGGGAGACTTTTGACTTGTGGAAAGATGGAGTAGATGTAATTAACATTTGCCTGTTATTTTAGTTAAGTACAACTAAAATCCCTGAGCATTATTCGTAAACATCAGGAGGCTCTAAAAGATAGAAGGCAGAGTTCTAGCTAGGAGCCTCAGGACCTAAGGCACACCATGGTGCTGAATCCTTTGCACTTTTCTTTTGCCTCCTGCATCTCAGACGTGTAACTGAAGACATTAACCCAGTGGCAGACACATAAGAAGAAAAAGCCTGCTCTCTAGTCAAAAGCCTAGGGAAGGCACAACCTAGCAAGGCACAAAACAGAGTAAACACTACTAAAGTCATACTATAGAAAAAAATTGTGGATCCCCACCTCCACCCTTATCAAGAGGAAAGCATAGATTTTCATACACACCAGGCTATCATCAGACACCCTAACCTCACTACCACAATCATAGTAATGTTAGAAAAAAGTAGGGAGTCTCCTGACAGTCGCAAGCCTCCCTCCACCAGTATGTGCATTGAGCCATGGGTGGGGGGCTGGACTTAATCCAGTCATTCCAAGAACCAGGAAGATCCCAAGCAAAAAGGAAAATGACAGACAGTAGATGCCAAACCTAAGAGGACAGGTATGTTAGAATTATCTGTTAAGGATTTTAAAGCAGACATCATACAAACATTTCTGTCAGCAGCAGAGAACATGCTTAAAGCAGGTAAAAGCATAGAAAGACTCAGGAAAGAAATGGAAGATAAAAAGAACCACATCAAAATTGTCATGTTAAAACACATAATAGCTGAAACTTTAAAACTCGGTGGATGGGTTCGCCAGAAGAACGAAGAGAACAGAAGAAAGAATCTATGTAGCAGATGATAGAACAATAGAAAGTAACCAGGTCTGAACAACAGAGAAATAGCCTGGCAATAAAAACACCCGGACTGACAGAACCACAGGGACCCTAACAATGCAGCTGACATTGTGCCATGGGAGCCTCGGAGTGGAGAAAGGGCAACCAGAGAGCTGCTCAAACATCCTACATTTGGCAAAAGGCATAAACTTGCTTATTCCAGAAGCTGAATGAACCCCAAATATAAACCTATAGAAATCTGGACCAAAACACTTAATCTAAAAAAAAAAAATACAGAATTAATTAGTTTTGGTGTTTGGTTTTGAACCTAGGGCCTTATATATGCTAGGTAAGCACTCGATGGCAGAGCTACATCCTCAGCACCCTTTTTTTCTATCTATCTATATTATTGGTACATTTTAGTATACAATATAGTTCATCATTGGGATCTTGTACCTTTACATGACATCTTGGTTCTTACTTTTTGCCTAATCCCCTAGTCTCCATTCACCTCCACCTTTTCCTATTTACAAAGACTCTGTTTCCATTTTTTCCTTTTCTCATGTTTTTTCTTTTCCCATCTTTTATTTCCCCTGTCCCTCCCAAATCCTCTACTCCTTTAGACATTTGCTTCCTATTTCACGATATCAATTATACATTTTGATCTTTATGCTTTTACTCTTTCACACCAGAGGAACTACTGGGCATTTACACATTGTGTCCTATTTATTTCACTTGAGTATGGCCTCAGTGTACATCCTCTTAGCTATAAATGTCTCTAGTGTCTCATTCTTTATGGCTAAGTAGTACTCCATTTTATTTTTTAAAAGACCCAACATCTTCTTTATTCAGTCTCCAGTTGATGGGCAATTCGGCCATTTCCAAGTTTTAACTATTACAAACCGTGCCCCTATATAAATGGGTATGAGTATATCACTGTGTTATGATTCTTTTAATTATTTTGGAAAGATAACCAGCAGGGGAATAGCTGGGTCAAATGGGACATCTAATCCTCATTGTTTGAGGTATCTCCATATTGATTTCCGTACTGGTTGCACAAGTCTGCACTCCTACCAATAACGAAGAAGGGTTCCTTTATCCCCACAACCCCACCAACATTTGTTAATTGTTTGATTTGATGGTAGCAGCTATTCTTGCTGGGGTGAGGTTTTTATCTGCATCTCTCAAATGACCAGTGATGTTGAACATTTTTTCATATGTTTATTTGCTGCTTTTACTTGTTTGTCTGAGAAATGTCTCTTCATTTCAGATGCCTATTTTTGAATTGGGTCTTTAAATTTGGGGGATGTGATTTTTTTTTTTAAGTTTTTTGTATATTCTACATAGTAGACCTTTTTCTGAGGAATGACTGGTAAAAATGTGTTCTCACATTGTAGGTTGTCTCAGCTCTGTTGGTGGTTTCTTTTGCAATGCAGAAGCTTTTTAATAAGATGAGATCCCAGGGCCAGGGATTTAGCTCAGTGGTTCCGCCACCTGTCTTGCAAGTGCAAGGACCTGAGTTTGATCCCCAGTACCAAAAAAAAAAAGATGAGATCCCAGTTGTTGGTTCTTGGTGCTAGTTTCTTTGTGCTACAGAGGATTTGCTCATAAAGTCTTTTCCTATGCCAATGTCTTCGAGAGTTCTGCCTAACTTATCTTCCAGCAAGTTTAGTGTTTCTGTTTTAATATTTAGATCTTTAATCCACTTTGATTTTAGTTTGCTGCATGGTGAAAGATAAGGGTCTAGTTTTAATCTTTGGCATGTTGAAATCCAGTTTTTTCAACACCATTTATTAAAGAGACTATCTTTCCTCCAGTGAGGATGGTTGGCTCCTTTGTCAAAGATGAGGTAGCTGAGTATGTCTGAAGTTATTTCTACATCTTCTAATGTATTCCACTGATCCTTGGGTCTGTTTCTTTGCCAGTGCCATGCTGTTTTTGTAGTATAGTTTCAAGTTGGGAATTGTAATACCCCCTGCCATG